CTCCAGCCTTCAGAGGGCTGGCCAGGATGGTGTTCCCAGGACCAGAGGGGTCTTCAGGGCCGGCTGGGGCCTCGCCAGACAGGTCTGTGAGGGGCCCTTCTTCACATGCTCCTGTGGGGGGAGTACCAGGGGGCAAAGCAGCTCTGGCCGAGGAAGCAGGGACCTGGTTCGAGCTTTCTCTGGCAGCTCTGGGAGAGTCTTCTGTTCGGTGTTGGGGAGCCACCTGGGAAGGGTCTTCTAAGATTTCCGAGGTGGAGGTAACACTTTTTTCTAAGAAATAAGAATGAACACTTTCCTCCAAGGCTTGCTCAAGGCTCACAGATGTTTGTCCTAGAGAAGCCACTTGATCTTCAAGCGTTTCTGGCATCTGGGGAGAGCTTGAGGGATCCAGGCTGGCCAGGTGAGCTGAGGTGGGCCCACTGGAATACTGCCTATCTTCAGAGGCTGGTCTCACATCTGCTGGAGGGGGGTTGGCATTGGCCACCATTCGTTTCTGGAGAATTCCATTGGTCATTTTGGTGTCCACTTCCTTGGTGAGCTGTTGGCTTTTCAGAAACAAACTTAGTTAACACGAAGGAACCTGTTAGCTTTTTAATTAGAATTTAAACCCCGAGAAGACATTAGCTAAAAACAGAAAAAAAGAATGTTCACTCAACCCTCTTCCTAAGATTAACTTTCACAAGTATATCCTCATAAATCAAAATTGGTAGACCAACTAGATCGCGCAGGTTTCCGAGAGAGCAGAAACATGACACACAATCACAGTTAAGGTTTTTTCTGCTTGCCTATTTCCCCCTTTCAGTTGGGGACCACCAGCTACATAATCCGGGGCACAGGAAGATCAAGGTTTTCACTGAAGAGAAAAACAAGACTGAGAGATCTTGAGAACACCCACGGCTGACTTGCAAACAGAAAGGAGACCCCAGTGGGTATGAAAAAAGAAACCCAAAGCATCCTTACTCGGAGACATGCTCAGACATTTCATGAAATTAGAGAAACAAAAACCAGGCCAATGTGTTGGCAAAAGCACAGTAAAGGACTGGGGCATAAAACTTAAACTTATTGGGGGCGCCTGGGTGGCTCAGTCAGTTGGGCATCTGACTCTTGGTTTTGGCTCAGGTCATGATCTCAGGATCGTGAGACTGAGATTCTCTTTCTCCCTATGCCCCTCCCCACTTGTGCTCTCTCTTTATAAACAAGTAAAAAAATCTTGCACGCCCGGGTGGCTCAGTCGTTAAGCGTCTGCCTTCGGCTCAGGTCGTGATCCCAGGGTCCTGGGATCGAGCCCCGCATCGGGCTCCCTGCTCCGCGGGAACCTGCATCTCCCTCCCCCACTCCCTCTGCTTGTGTTCCCTCTCTCGCTGTCTCTCTCTGTCAAACAAATTCTTTAAAAAAAAAAAAAAAAAAGTAAAGAATTTATTTATTTGTTTGACAGAAAAGTATTTATTCGTTTGACAGAGAAGTAAAGAATTTATTTATTTGTTTGACAGAAAAAGACACAGCAAGAGAGGGAACACAAGCAGGGGGAGTGGCAGAGGGAGAAGCAGGCTTCCCGCCGAGCAGGGAGCCCGATGTGGGGCTCGATCCCAGGGCCCTGGGATCACGACCTGAGCCGAAGGCAGACGCTTAACGACTGAGCCACCCTGGCGCCCCAACAAGTAAAAAAATCTTAAACAAAAAAACTTATTCTACACATTTTGTTAATTGCTTTTCTACTAACAAGTGACTTGCAATGCGAGTATGCCGGGCAACACATCGCATGAGCTCAGAGCAGAAACCGGGAGGAACTCGACCAGATGTGACTAACGACAAGACAGAATTTTTCTGCTGTGTCCGCTGGAGACATTACAAATTACAGTACATTAAGCAGCATCAACACTTACTTCTCTTTCTGGGTCCGGTTTTGAGGAGAGTTTTCTAACCCAACAGCATCCTCCAGAGTAAAAGGAGCCTCGAGCTTGCTGCTCATGCTAGGACTTAATATCCGGTGCGTCTGTGGGTCCCGCAGAGGAGTCTGAAAAGTCACCTGTTGGGGGAGGAGGAGACCTGTTCAATAATTCAAGTCTTCAACCACTATGGTGGCAGTGCCCTGCCCACTTCCGTAAGTCCCCAGGAAAGAAAGTCCCAGGGTGACCTAATGGGTGACACACAGTAGATTTACACGGGCAAAGTGTGCTTACTTTCATAGCTTTGAGTACACTCTTGGGTGGCACATTTTCTTTCTGTGACAGACGAAGAACAGATAGTCTTCCGGTAAGTTCCGGTGGTGAAAACAGGAACTCGCAGTTTTCTGCACTTTTGTCACCAGTGACGTTTTCATCACTGTAGATCTGCAGACTCATTCTGGAAAAGCAGGCAGTTTACGTCAGTATGAGGGCTGTGCACTCTGGATGAAGGGCCAGGACAAGGAGCTAGCCTCACAGGGCAGATGTCCCCTTCCTGCACAGGTGGGTCACATCTCAGGCAGCACGTCCTCCGCCAGACAGTCCTTGTCCTGTTTTAGGGCAGCTGCCACCTCCCAGGACAAAGAGCCATAAGGGCCCTCAGCCCACAGGACAAGGGAGAAGAATCAGGTCCTCAAAACAATTTGAACTTGGGGCGCCTGGGTGGCTCAGTTGGTTAAGCGTCTGCCTTCGGCTCAGGTCGTGATCCCAGGGTCCTGGGATCGAGCCCCGCATCGGGCTCCCTGCTCGGCGGGAAGCCTGCTTCTCCCTCTCCCACTCCCCTGCTTGTATTCCTGCTCTGTCTCTCTCTGTCAAACGAATAAATAAAATCTTAAAAAAAAAAAAATTGAACTTAGTGGGTAAAGGTCAGGAGACAGGGGTGCTGGCCTGTCAGAAAGCCTGGGTCTCCCCTCAGGCCTCCGCTGAAGGCGCTGAGGCCACAGCACAGAGGGAGCAGGTTGCCAAGTTGGCCGAGAGCAAGAAAGCAGAAGGGTGCTGTGGCTTGCCCTTCCGTCACGGGCTGGGAGAGGAGCACGCCGGGGCACCGTGAGGGCCGAGGCCCAGGGGAAGAGTGGGAAGTGGGACAAGAGGCAGTAAGCAGCAGATCCAGAATTACCTGGTGGGGAGCTGAAAAGCTTCTACACTGAGATTTGGAGTCTAGAAATATAAACCAGCGACCTCCACTGAGACCCACAAGGTTCTAGAACAGTCCCCACCCCCCTTCCCAAGGTCCTCAAGGTGGTCAGCAGCATGACGCTCCCAACCCAGGAGTCGCCGGAGGGCCTGTCCATGGGAACGTCACAGGTATCTGCTGGTGGTGGGGGTGCTGGAAGTTGCAGCTTGAAGAGCACGGCCGGGGTGGTGGGGGCAGAAGGAGCAAGGGTGCCCTGGAAAGAGGCGAGTCAGGATAACAAGATGCCCTGGAAGGTACGGGGGTGGGGCCATGCGCGCGGAGGCCGGGGAAGGGCAGGAGGGAAGTGGGGGCCAAAGACTCCCGCAGCCAGCCAGCGGTGGAGAGAGCAGCCCTGGCTTGGCCAGCGGGCCCACAAGGCGTCTGGAAGGCGCGGAGAAACAAAAGGGCGACCTTCAGATTTTTGGCGTGAACGCCAGGAAGGGGAAGGAGAGCTGGCCGGCTGTGGGACGCACGAGGCAGGGGACCTAGACACCGTGCCGCAGCCCCTCTCCTGAGAAGGCGGGAGAACAGCCGCGGCAGTCCGTCCGGTCCGGCTTCCACGGACCAGGGGGAGGAGGCTCCCGGGCAGAGGCTGCAAGGCCAGACAGCCCGGGGAGCGAAGGTCCGGGTCCGCGCGGGGAACAGGGCGGAGCCGCGCCGAGCAGCTGCGGGGAATCAGCAGGACCCGCGCAGCTGGAGTCAGCGACGGCTTGCAGGTGGGGCGCGGAGAAAGCAGCACCGAGCTGCCGCGGGGAGGGAGGCGCGGCGCCGCGGCGCCGGGAAGGGCTGGGGATCGCGCCTGCGGGGAGCGGGCGGCGAGCCGACGGCGGAGAGGGTGCGAGGTGTCCCCTGCAAGGCGCCGATGCAGGTGGTGGTTGAGGCTGGACGAGCTCACGAGGTGACGGCGCGGGAGCCCAACGGAGCGGGCCGCGAGGGACCCTGACACACCGACCTCCCGGGGACCGACAAAGGAGCCCCCGCAGGCGTCTCCGCCCTCGGGCTGCGGCCGGAAACCAGCGGGGCACGCGGGCTGCCGGTGGCCCCGGTAGGGCGGCAGCAGAAGCCGGCAGGGCGGGCCCAAGAGAGCAGGGGGCTGTGCGGACGGCGCACCCCGGAGCCGCGGGAGGAGCCGCAGAGGGAGGAGGACGGGCGCCGCCCAGCTGCGGCGGGGGCCGGGGGCCGGGGGCCGGGGGCCGGGGCGCGGAGCCCGAGGCAGGAGGTGGGGATGGACGCCCGAGCCCGGGGCCTCGCCGCCGCCGCCTACCTGCCGGCGGCCGCACGAAGCCGAGGGAGCGGGAGGCGCCGAGTCCGGGTGACCGTCCGCCCGCCGCCGATTCAAATACCGACGGTTGGAGCGCGCGGCCAATCAGCGCGCGGCCGGGGGCGGGACGCACAGGGCGCCGCGGCCACGCCTCCGGGGCGCCGGCCGCTCCGCTTCCGGGGGGGGGCACGCTGGGCGCGGCGGGCGCCGGAAGCCCTCGGAACCCCCGCTCGCCGCGCCTGCGGAGGGGCGGGGCCGCTGGCGGGCGGCGGCTGCGGGGGGCGGGGTCTGCCGCGGACGCGACTGCGCTGCGTGGGAAGGCCGGGGCCTGAGACCCGTCGGCTCGGGCCTGCTTCCCCAGCTGTAAAACGGGAGCAGCTGCAGCCGGCCCCGGGGCGGGCCGTGGGACGGAGCCGGACCCTCGCGGGGGCTGGCGAGGTCTCAGCGCGCCTGGCTGTGTACGGGGCGCGGCAACTCCGCTTCCCAGGGTGCCCCGCGTCGATGGGACGTCTCCCAGCGCGCCCCACGCCGGCCTGCGGACGGGACGCCATCTCCCAGGATGCCCCGCGGGCGGGGACCCCATCTCCCAGCGCGCCCCGCGCCGGCCTGCGGACGGGACGCCATCTCCCAGGATGCCCCGCGGGCGGGGACACCATCTCCCAGCGCGCCCCGCGCCGGCTGGCGCCCACCTGCCGCCGCCCCCCGGCTCGGAATTCTCGGGTCTGTTTCCCGTCGGGGGCTGCGGGCCCCTCTCCGACGGCTTCCTGGCGGCCGCGGCAGCGCGATGGACAGCCCGGAGGTCACCTTCACGCTGGCCTACCTGGTGTTCGCCGTGTGCTTCGTGTTCACGCCCACCGAGTTCCACTCGGCCGGGCTCACCGTGCAGAACCTGCTGTCGGGCTGGCTGGGCAGCGAGGACGCCGCCTTTGTGCCCTACCACCTGCGCCGCACGTCCGCCACGCTGCTGTGCCACTCGCTGCTGCCGCTCGGTGAGCAGGCCGGACCCTCCCCCAGAGGGTCCCCGGGGCGCGGCGGCACCGGCCTGTGTCCCCCTTGGTGGGCGTTACGTGGCCCCTCGGGCTCGCGGCCGAGTTCCGGGACCCCGGAAGTGAAGAGTCGGGGGAGGGCGCGCGGACCCCCGGTCGTTCCGAGGAGGGACGCTGACCCCGAGAGCGCGGCTTTCGACTGACAGCCCGTGCGCTCTGAGACGGGCCTCTCGCGTCCGCGGCGGAGAGGAGGGTGCTGGCGGCAGGTGGCTGCTTGCAGGGGGCAGAAGTGAAGGCTTAGAATATTGGGGGGCGGGCAAAGGTGATGATGCTTCGCCCGTAGCTGTGGCAGGTCATTTTGTGGGGGCAGTTCGCAGGAGAGCGACATGAGTTAACTGATTCTAACGAAGGTGGAGGGACCTGGGAGAGCAGGTGGCCTTGTCCCAGGCTTTGGAAGGTGGGTGTTAGAAAGGCGGAGATGGGTAACCCCATGGGGGTGTCACAGGTTCAGAGGCTGGCGGGGGCAGAATGCTCACACGTGGCCCAGGGGTTGGGCTGGGCGGAGACCAGGTGCTCTCTGGCCTCTGAGAGGCTGGTTGGACAGGGGACTGGCTGGAGGGAGGGAGGGAGGGAGGGGGTGTGTGTGTGTGTTCGTGTGTGTGTGTGTGTGTGTGTGTGTTCGTCCTCTGGAGGATACAGAACAGAAGCAGGTTTAGAAGGGCGGGTGGCTGCTGGGCCCCGGTGGCTGGCTCAGTGGACTCAGGAGTTTCCACCTGTCAGCAGGGCGCAGCAGCCTGGGCCAGGTGTGGAGAGCCTCCTGGAGGGGGCTGGGCTGAGGCCAGGTCTGTGCAGGAGGGCTGCCTCCCCATGCCAAGAAGGACACGGCCTTCTTGGTGGCAGTCTGGTGGTATCCTTGGTCAAGTGGTTTCTGCCTGTTGTTGGGGTAACTATGTGGCTTTCTCAGCTTGAGGCCCCAGCACCCGGTAAGGCAGGGTTACCAATTAGCTGATTTCTCAGATGAGGAAAGTGCGGCTTGGAACTTGGGCTCTTGAGACGGTCGTGGGTTGGGTTTCTGCCCTGGGAACTAAGGGTCCCCACAGTTTTCTGGAGTCCTTTTAGCCACATCCTTTCTATAAGCCCATGAGTGGCTGGGCCATCACCGTGCTACACATGGACGGAGAAACCAGAACGTAGGGAGCTCAGTGACTCATGCAGGTGGAGGAGCCTGGCCTTGTGGCCAGCCCCGGGGTCTTTTTCTTCCTTTTCAACCTGTTTTGAAAGGCTTTGAAACTCTTGTATGCATATTATTTACTGCTGCCCGATAAATTACCTTAAATGTGGTAACCTGATCAACAGTAAATGTTTACTATTACTTTGCAGCCTTAAACGTGTTCACGCAGGTATCCATTATCTATCTACGTCAGTCAATCGTTCAGATATGCAGATTGGCCCTGACCTAGCCGGCGGGGGCCCTGGAGCTATGGTGTTCCCCATTGTTCTCTGCGTAGTGTTTGGCACACAGATCTGAGCTCTGGGATGGGTCACACTCTGATTTTCCTCCTCAGAGGGGCTGGGGTTGAGAGGCCAAGATCCCGCCCCTGGGAGGGCCAGTGTGTAGCTCTGCTTTGGGTGACACCAGATCCTTGTTTTTGTTTTTGCGGGGTTTTTTGGGGGGGTTTTCCTATTTCCGTAATCATGTATTACTCATATAAAACAAGTAGTAAATTAAAAACGTCTTTCCTTTATTTATTGTATTACTGTTCCGGGCAAGGGTTGAGCTGGGTCATCGTGGAGGCAGGTAAAGTGCACCTGCCCTGGGGTACCATTGCCTGGCCCTGAGAGCTGACCAGGGTGGCCCTTGGTGGGCACTATGGGGAGAGAACAATGGCCTGGCAGTCTTGATTTCTGCTGAGGCCCTCCCCATCCTTTGTAGGCTACTACGTGGGCATGTGCTTTGCAGCTTCAGAAAAGCAGCTCTACTCCCTCAGCCAGGCCCCGGAGGCCTGGCAGCTCTTCCTCTTGCTGGCAGTGACTCTGCCCACCATCGCCAGCACGCTGATCTACTACTGGTCCTGTGATCAGTGGGCCCACCACCCGCTGGCCCGCACCCTGGCCCTCTACGCCCTCCCGCAGTCAGGCTGGCGGGCTGTGGCCTCCTCAGTCAACACCGAGTTCCGGCGGATCGATAAGTTTGCCACGGGGGCACCAGGGGCTCGTGTGATCGTGACGGACACGTGGGTGATGAAGGTGACCACGTACCGTGTGCACGCGGCTCGGCAGCAGGACGTGCACCTGACCGTGACAGGGTCACGGCAGCATGCGCTCTCGGCGGACTCCAGCCTGCCTGTGCAGCTCCTCACCATCCACGTGGCCAGTGCCAGCCCTGGGGTGCGGGCCTTCGACATCCGGTAGGTACGCTTGTGGCCAGGGTCATAGTGAGGCTGGGGCGCGCCGGAGGCAGCCAGCAGTCAGGTTCTAGTCTTGGGCTCTCTGGGAGGCGGTGATGCGTGGAGCACGTTCTTCTAGCCACCCTTCCTGCGGAACCCTCCCTCAAGGCCCCTTGTTCCCTCACACCCCCATAGGTACTCTCTGCCTCTGCTTTCTCTGTGTTCTCCTCTGAGCTGCCTTTTGCAGCTCTTTTCGGGGGACCGTGTTAGGGATGTTTGGGGGGTGGTACAGGACCGAGGCTTGGTGGCTGTCTTGGCTCTGGGGCCCAAGCCGAGGTCTTCCTGTCCCATTCAGGCTTCGGCCAGTCCGTTGTTCCTCTTCTGTGATCCCCTTTGTGCCTGAATTTGGTGAAAGCCAGGCGTTCTGTGTCTCAGCTGCAACCTCCCCACTCTCTTTGCCCCTCCCTGCCTCCCTTGAGGGCAGGTGGTCGGTGCTCTCCTTCTGTGGGCTCTGGCCTCAGGGCTGTCTTTGCAGGCTGGTCTTTATCAGGCGACTGGGCTGTGCCTGGGCTCCCATATTCTGTGTGGTTGTGGGTGCTCTGTCACCCTAGAGGCACCTCGGCATCCCCACCAGGAATGATGGCCCTGCCCTGCAGAGGGGCCTTGGTTTAGTGGCCCCAGCCCAGCAGCCCCCACCTTGTGCAGGCTGAACTCCACGGAGTATGGTGAGTTGTGTGAGAAACTCCGCGCACCCATCCGCAGTGCGGCCAACGTGGTCATCCATCAGAGCCTGGGCGACCTGTTCCTGGAGACATTTGCTTCCCTGGTGGAGGTCAACCCAACCTACTCGGTCCCTAGCAGCCAGGTGAGGGCTGGGTGGGGGCAGGTGGGTTCCCACAGGCCAGGCCCCCTGGGTGGGTGGGGGGGCACAGGGCCGTCGGGCCAGGCTCCCTGTGACCCTCTACACCCGCCCACAGGAGCTGGAGGCATGCATTGGTTGCATGCAGACACGTGCCAGTGTGAAGCTGGTGAAGACCTGCCAAGAGGCAGCTGAGGGCGAGTGCCAGCAGTGCTACTGTCGCCCCATGTGGTGTCTCACCTGCATGGGCAAGTGGTTCGCCAGCCGCCAGGACCCACAGCGCCCTGACACCTGGCTCGCCAGCCGCGTGCCCTGCCCCACCTGCCGTGCACGCTTCTGCATCCTGGATGTGTGTGCCGTGCGCTGAGCCTGCTGGCTGGAGCAAGGGAGTGGCCTTGGGGGTCCCAGCGAGCCCTGCTAGGGACCCCACAGTCACCATGAGGAGCAGCCAGGGCTCCAGGCCCTCGTTTGTGTTGTCAGCCAGGGGTTCTTTCCCCAGCATGATGAAGGACGAGGGTTTTTGTTTAAAAAGGAAGTTTTCTTTAGCAGTGTCACTGTGTTGGGACTTCAGTGCCTCCGCTTCCTTTGCTTCTTGTTTCTCCAGGTGGGGGTAGCTGCTGGACTTGGAACACAGTATGGTGTGGGGCCCATTTCCAGAGCATTGTGAGGCTACCTGAGCTGTCTTCTGGAGACCAGGGATCTGCCCCCATGGCCCTACCCTGAACCACTTGCCTTAATTTTATGTAACACACCTGCCTTTCAGTTACACGCCAGACCCAGGTTCATCCAAACTGGTTGCAGTCTGTCCTCCAGGCGCCTGTCTCCAAGCTGGCTGCTGGCTCTGTGCTATTGTGTCCCCTTTGCATCCCACCAGGCGGCTCTGAGGGTCTGGGGGAGAGTCTGGCGGTGCAGAGACTGGGGTGCCATTCCAGGGTGAGAGCACTGCCTGGGGCTTCCTGGGTGGGGTGGCCCCTACCTGCTATCTGGCCCCGGGAGATCCTGGACTTCCTGTTGGGGGCTGGCTTCTCTCAACTCCTCTTCTTTAGCTGCATGCTTGTGGGGGTTGCCTGTCTCCTGGAGGGCAGGCACCTCCGTGCCTACTGCTGCTCGGTGAGTCCAGAGAAAGGCCAAGCCTGACTCCCCGCCGGAGGGGATACTGCGCAGAAGACGCGGCGACAGACTGCATGCAGACAAACCTGGGGCACAGCACAGGGCTGGCCACGGCGCTCTAGGGTCCACCTGCGCCAGAAAGTGATGTGCGTCTTCCCAGTTCCCGGTGGCACATCGAGGAGGGCGTAGCAGCCAGGCCATCGGGCCCAGCTCTGACCCATGTGGTTGCGGGAGGGGGCCCCCCTAACCTGGCTGTGTGAACGCAGCCGGCGTGACTTGCCGGAGGCCACCCTGAAGCCCAGGGATTTGGGAGCCGAGGCGGCTGTTTCGTGGGCCGCCAGGGTACCCGCAATGAAGGCCGTCGGGGGGACGGCAAGCACAGCCTCCGCCCCGGGTTTCGGGCGCTGCCGAGGGACCGAGTTGGGTTATTTTTACTACAAAAGAAAGTTACTTAGTTTTATAAGGACAAGTTTATTGTATCTGCGCGATACGGTACTTAATAAAAGTCTGAAGCGCGTACTGGCATGTTTTGTTTTCCCCGATGCTCGAACTGGCAACGGGGAGAAGCCGCCTGGGAAGCAACAGCACTGCGCCCGTTCTGTCCACACCGGGGGGGGGGGTGGCGGGCGCCGAGGTCTCACCAAGCCCATTCCCGGGGCTCCAGCTGGGGCCTGGGGTTCTGGGGAGGGCGCGGAGGGCCCGCGGAGGGCGGGCAGGGGTCAGCCGCCGGAGGCGGCGGGGAGAGCGCACCGGGCTCGGCTGGCGGCTGAGACTCAGGCCCGGCCCGCCGCGCGCCGGCCGCCTCCCCTTCCGGGTTCCAGTTTCCCGCCTGCGCAGAGGCCGCCCCCGCGGGGTCGACCAATCAGAGGCCGCCTCGCCGGCCGGCCAACCAGAGGCGCGTCCTCTCCCGGGCCTTGGCCCCTCCGAGCGCCTGCGTCGCGCGCGCGCCCGAATCTCCCGCCAAAGCCCCCCCCGCCCCCCCCGCCCTGCCCGCCGAGCCGCGGCAGCGCCGGCCGTCCCCACGCTAGGAGCGGGGGGCAGCCTCTCCTCGGGCCTCTCTCTCGTCCTCCGGCCACACGGCGCCGCTCCGCCGCCGCCCAGAAGGCAGCGCCGGGGCTGCGGCCTCGCGTCCCCCCGCCCAGGCCCGGGCCGCCTGCGAAGCGCGCGCTGCCGCCTGGGCGCCCCCCCCCCCGCCGGCGTGGGCCGGATGGTCTCGCCCGCTGCGGCGCGCGCGGGAGCTCGGGGGGCGGGGCCGGACGCGCATAAAGGCGGTTGGGGGCGGGGCGCGCGCGCAGAGCCTGTCAGCGCCGGCGCGGGAGAGGACGCCGCCGCCGCCGGTCCCGGACCCCCGCCCGAGGACCCCCGCCCGAGGACCCCCGCCCGAGGACCCCCCGCCCGAGGACCCCGCCCGCCCGCCGCCGCCGCCGCCGGTCCCGGACCCCTGCCCGAGGACCCCCGCCCG